TTCTAAGTGACCGTATTTGGAGCACCGCTGGTGTTCTTTGATCCGTGTACTGATCTTCCTCCCGGTTTCTCCAATGTACACTTTCCCGCATGAGCAAGGGATCTCGTACACTCCTGGTGTACTCAAGGCTGGTCTTGGATCCTTCGCGCTCGGCAGCATCTGTCCGATCTTCTTTGGGGGTTGGAAGATCGTTCGGATGTTATGTTTACCGAGTACTCTGCTGATGCGTTCTGTTGTGCCTCTCAGATAGGGGAGGAGGGCCGATGTGTGGTGGCATTTCTCGTGATAGTTGAACTTGAAATAAGTTGGAATTGAACTGAAAATAATGATGTTGAAAGAATGTCATGATTATCCTTTCTAACAGCCATTTCGATACGATTCCGTTCTATCCATGGGATAATCCTAAGGGTTAATTATTTTCAATGGGGAAATACGTACAGACTATCGAAACAATCGAGGTAAAAGAGGCAAAAAAATGTAGTGTCATTCCATTTTCATAATCATTGCACCATTTTCCAACTCTAAAGCAGAAAATTCATAGCTAATAATCACATTCCAGTGCCTCCATACACATATATACATATAGAGACATTTTTCTCAAACTTAATTATCCTCTGTTTCTCAGTAATTGAGTGGTCTAAATCTATTAATTTTTTTAATCACTTCTGCTCACTAACGAAACCCATAACTGCAGAAACTGTCAATTTCAGATTATCGTATGTCTTATTCTCACAGTCTAATAATCTCCAATAACATCCTACATATAGGGTAATTTCACGTGGGTAAATTGTTCTCAGTGGGAAAATACACACAGAATGTCGGAACATTCTTCGGAACAGAGATGAAAAAAAGTTGTCATTCCATTTTAAAACACTACAACTTTTTCAGACTCTAAAATAGAAAATTCTCACGTAATAATTAATGTCAGTGTTTACATAAATGTACTCACATACTGACATTATTCTTAAACCTAAAATTATCTTCTATTCGAAAGTCATTTGAATGGTTTCAATATGAAATTTTAAAATTTTAGAAATTGTTTAAATAACTTCTATTCACTAACGAAACTCTCAACAACAGAAACTGCCAATTTTGCATTATCACACCTCCAATAAACATTCTCCTTCATCTTAGCCTGTGATATGATCACAGGCTAAGAAAACATAATTTGCTTTCTCTGCTCAACAAATATTCGAAAAGGGCGTTACTAAAAGCAAATTTGCAATAACAATTTTCCAAATTTACAGCAACAGAAACGTAAAATTTCCCGAGTAGAAGAGAATTACTTTGTTCTCTTTTACTTCCAAATAATTTCATGTATTTCCTAAAATTTGTAAATTAGAAATTTCCTTCATGACCTCTACTCATCACCAAAAACTGTCAATGTCCCATTGTCACACCTCTAGTAATATTTCTTATCTATTTCTAGGAGAGAATCTACAGAAATTATCACAGCATTGCATTCTTCCCTCAAAAATTCACTCAATACCTCCTCTCAGCCGAAGTTGGTTTCACAAAGTGCGAAGTTGTCTCGATTCCCCCTCACCCATCCAAGGGTTTTCAGCGTCCAATTCAGTTATTCACAAAAGCAGGAACAAGCCCAGCTCCAACGACAACAGTGAGATTCATCGGCAGACAGATTAAAAGGAGAGACACAGAGAGGCGTGCATTTGAGCGTGACTTATTTCCACGTGAATTTCCAAGATGTGGAAATTTATCGGAATTGAGTCAGCGGAGTGTCGAGTCATTGAGTCAATACGATCAATTCGAGAACGTCTATGCCCCCAGTACAACCCCCTGTTACGACACACCGAGTCACAATAATGACAGTCAGCCTGCGTTTGAGCCTGAGAAGATGTGTTACACAGATGTTGGAATAAGGCCAAATGATCAGGAGGGAAAGGAGGGATGCAAGAAAAAAATTAACGAGTCCACAACGAAGAGTGAGGATCAGAGTGAGGAGGGGGTGAAGAGGAGCTGTCATTTCTCACAGTCAACTGGGCAAGCAACACCCGGGGAGAGCGAGGAGAGGGGAGAGGGTGAGATGGACACGAGTAAATATGAACTGACAACCGACAACACATAAATAATCGTTGACACTGGGAAACCACTGTTCTGGAAATATCGAGGTGCAGGGGTGGGAAGCAATGAGGATTTCATTACTGAGGATCATTTTTAGTAATAAGTTTTCTTTCGGTTTGAGGAGGAGGGAGGGGAACAGCAGCCGCTGGGGAACGTGCAGCTAGTCGAAATTCATTTTCCGCATGTTCTGGGGATATATTCATGATCAATGATGAGGTTTTCGAGGAAATTCTGCGTTGAAGGGGTTCGGGGTAACGAGTCGATTTGGGTCGCAATGACGAGTATTTTTCTGAGGAAAAACATTATTTTTGCTGAATATTTATTTACTTGAGAGAAGCATTTATTTGTTCAAAATCGTATTTTTCCAATTGAGTCATTCCTAAGCGAGCCTGATTACGTTTCAATTATTGCAATCATGTTGCTCTAGAGGATGACTATCTTGCACATGACACTGGATAATCATTCGATGAACTCCTCCAATGATTATTCATTTTTCCTAAATTTCTTATTCTCTAGAGGAAATAATTTTGATTAATTTTTTAATATTGGTAATTATTAAGGAACTTCACTCAAGGTCATAACTAACATGATCATCTTGTACAGCAATATAATTGTCGTAATTGAAATCTAATGAGGATTGCCTGGGAATGACTCGACTGGAGAAATACCGTATTGAAAAAATTAATACTTCTCTCAAGTGAAAGGATATTTGGCAAAAATATGTTTTTTTCTCAGTGTTCTTGGTCATAGGAGAAAATTTAGAGGTTTCAGTAATTTAGTGGGAAGGCGAAATGAGTGAATATCGGTTTGATTCAGTTTTTGGTGAATATCTGGGAGACGAAAGGAGGTAGCTGAATTTTTGGGAGATTTAAGGAAATAGGGAAAATTTGTTGAGCTCATTGTACATATCGTGAGGGTAGCATGGAGGGATTATTTGTGCACGAAAAATCTGATAAAATTTTCGTCTGACCTTTTGCCAAGAAGTTATTCGACAATAAAGCAAAAATCCACCGCGAAATTCCGTTTTTTTTGAAAATTCATATGTCTCCTCTCACTTGGTATGAAGGAATGAAAATGGGGACGCTCAATTGGGTATTTAATGCATAATGATCTGAACAAATGGTTTTTCTATCACCATGCACCTGAAAATTAGAGTCGACGTAAAAAATTCATATCTGCATTCTCATTTAATATCGAGGGATAAAATTGATTGTAATCGATTGGATATTCAAGCCCAGCATCCCTGCGCCGTGAATGGGAAAGAGGATATGATTCCTCTATCGTGCAATATCATTTGATTGGCTATCTTTTTTTTCATTGATAACTTACACAAAACGACGGAGACAAAAATTTCGCTGGAGTTTTCGTCTCCAAATAGCCCCAAATAAAATATGTTTTAGGGCACACTGTATATTGTGTTTTACACAGAAAGTCCTATTTCTCTATAATTCTGAGATACTCTTAAAAAACTAAAGCCTGAGTAAAATTTCCTCATTTTGTTTTACCACTTTCTAAAAATCTCTGAAATGAAGACAAATAGCAAAATACTCACAAGGACCCTTTCAAATAAAATCTTTATAAAAGGTCTGTGCAAAAATTTCGCCATCTCCTCTAAATTCCAAGATATTCAAAGCAAACTGATCTTCAAGTAAATTTTTTTATTTTTTATTTTAGTCCCGAAATTTGTGTACAGATCTTTTTTGACGATTTAATTTGAGAAGGTCCTTGCAAGAATTTTTTGACTTGTCTTAGACTTGAAGATATTTACAATAGATTGGTGCTAGAACAAATGTAGTTTTTATGAGTATTTCAGAATTATAGAGAGATAGTGGTTCTTATTTTGCTCCAGAAAAAAAAGTTAGACAAATTTTGCTGTCGCAACTTTGCAGAGAAATGGAGATTACTCAGAATTCAGGTTTTGCCGAATACATCAAGAAGGAAATAAATAGCAAAATTCTTGTGGGGATTTTTGCACAGGTCGCATTATGCTTTACAAAAAAGGTTCTGATGAAATAGTTCCTATCTCTCTTAAATTTGAAGATATTAAAAAAGTTACAGCACGAAATAATTTACTTAGAGTTTAATTTTTGTGGAATATTTTGAGATTGCTGCAAAAACTGAATTCATGTAAGAACTTTTCCTTTCACATATTCAGGGGAGGTTTCTAGAGTAAAAGATTTCTATGAAGAATTTGTTGTATCAACTCATCTCGTTTTACCATTACATTACTGAATTGCTTAATTATCCTCTTAATGAGTGACTCTAGGGGTAAAAAGATATTTTTGCCGGGAATTTCCTCAGCAGCAAGGAAATTCGCCTGACATTTCTACCTGAACACCCTCGTTAGCGACATAATTGCACAGTTAACAAATACCGTTACAGTCGACTCATTTCCTTTTACGTCAATGCAGAATCAATTACAGTTGTAATAACACTTTTTTTAAATTGAAAGGCAGTAAATAGTCATAGGTTTTCTGTAGAAGTGAATCTGAAATAATTCTGTGATGCAGTGAATACTGTGTTTGGAATTTCTTCTAAAATTTTACGGGTGAAATTTTCCCTAATCCGTTCTCATGAATTTTCAGGAAAAAAATGACATCACGTCACAGAATGATTTCATAACACAAACTTCATTAGAATATGATCCGCATTGATATGTGATGGGTTAATTAGGGTTTTGCAGTGAATTTTTTAATCGTTGGATATGAAGATTGATGAAAAATATGCGACACCTATGGGATATTCAAGGTGAATGTCTCAGTAGCAGAAGGCGCAAATGGAAGATGAATTTTTATGGGAAAAACACAACACTTCAAGCGTGTCCATTTGGTCTTCTCAATGGACTGCCAAAATGTGGCACCAAATAATAAATTGCAGAACTCGAGAAAATTAATTGAACTGTTTAATGTTTAAAAAAGTTCAGCTACTGACACAGAGATAGGTACTGGGACATTCACTTCATCCGTTTTTCAAAAATTCAATTTTTGTATGGTCGAGAAAAATTCTGTAGGTTTTTAGCCTGATGGGGAAACATATGAAACGAACATGTCTAGTAATTATGAGAAATTAGCTGCAGTTGCTTTGGCGAAATGAAGCGAAGAAATTTCTTTTTATGTATGAGTCTTTGTGGGATTGGTTTTCAAATTGATCTTTCATGAACTAGAAAACTAAAACTGGAAACAGAAATGAAAATGAAGGGGGAATGTGAAAAAATACACTGAATCTACTGGTTGCGGGATATTCTGGAGTACCCAAGCAAATAATATTGCTATTTACAAACTTTAAGCCTCATGCATCATTTCTGAATCATTAACTCTGGTTGGTGGGTTAAAATTTTTGTCAATATTAAGGGAAGACCGCACTTCAGTCTCGCAATCATGGGAGCCCTCATCTATTGTGCTGATGAGGCCACGTTTAAAAAACTTCCATTAAAAAAACTTCGTCAACAAATTCTATCAAAAAAACTGCGTCAAAACAACTTGGTAACTAAAAAAACTTGAAGAAAAAAAACTTAACTCCAACGTCGAAAGACTTGAAAAAAAACTTTTATAAACTCCAGGAAAATAATGCAAAAAACACAAGAATAGAGCATTAATAACGCTTCATTGAATGCACACGGACGAAAATAATAAAATAATAGAAAATAAAATAATTAAAAAAGAAAACAAATGAAGCACAATATTAAATTTTCAAACATCGTCTTCAGAGTAAACTACATCGAGTCTCAATAAAAAGTAATTTTATACAAATTCATAAGCATGAGGAAATAAATAACACACTGAAAAACAGAAAATATAGCGTTTCAATTTTTTTATTAATCAGAAAGCGGCTTAAGCGGAATGAAATCTTCAAAAGTGTCGTCATGACGCAATTCTCAACTGATTAACTAAAATTTTGGGTCACACGTACGTAATTTGTTGTCAAACATAACTAAATGAACTTTGAAAATTTCTGGTTTTCGATTTTTTAATTTATTTTTCTCAAAATTGGCTGTGAAAAATTTGAAAAATTAGATGTATTTAACTCCATCATAAATCACTGAAGTCGGATTTTTTTAAGATTCTTCGAGTCATTTATTCAGAATACAATGAGAAGAATGATGAAGAAAAGCTGAAAAAATTTAGACTTCAATGTTTGATTATGTCCTTTAATTCTAATGATTTTTCAGATTTTTTTACCTGTAGCAATTTTGAAGAAACAAATGCGAAAACTAAAAAAACGGTAATTTTTAAAAAGTTTCATTTAGTTATATTTATGCATATATTCTGTATTTGTAACCCAAAATTCAACTTAATGTTATAAAAAATAAAAACCTAATTTTTTCTCATTTTGTCTACACTAAAACTGAAGTAGAAAACTCAGTACGATAAAGGCCCCTGCGATTTTGAAATACTAGTGCGGTCTCCCCTTAAGAAGATAACTAATCATCACTTGAAAAAAAAATTTTTTTTGAGTGCTCACATTTTTTGAAACACATTTGTAAAGCATTTACTTGCAAAAGCTTGTGAATTCAGGAAAAAGCGCTCTTTTTCCTCTTCAAAATCGAATAAAAAAGTACATCAATTCAATCAGACTCCGAATTTTTGCTCATATTCAAGTTATTATCGAACTTCATGGGTTCCATGCTGATATCTGCATGAATCACTGCCTTTTTATTTTTATGAATGTCTGTTACGACGTCATTCTTTACTACAGATTTCATTTCAATTGGTTGCAACTTAAAATTATTCCAATTTTAAAAAAATACAAAAAAGGTATCAAATATTTTTCATCTAATTTTTAAACTTCATCATTCTATTCAATAAAAATTTTTATGAAACCCAATGCATAGCTTCAGTTGCGAAGCAATAAGACTTAAAACCTCTTTTGTAGAATTCATTGACAGCTACAAAAAATGTAATTACAAATATTTTGCTACACTGAGAGAAAAAATTACTTTTGTCAAATCGGAAAATATTCTCTCGTCAATTGCTAGAATCGTAAAATCTCCTGGTAAATAATTTTGTGCTCACACTGAGAGAAAGAAGTCTTTCCACAGGATGCCTCTTTATTTTCATGAATTGTACTTGAAAATTAAAAAGTGATTCACAATGTCTGTTACGACGTCATTCTTTACTACAGATTTCATTTCAATTGGTTCCAACTTGTTAAAATTATTCCACTTAAAAAAAAACTACAAAAAAGGTATCAAATATTTTTCATCCAATTTTTAAACTTTATCATTCTATTCAATGAAAAATTTTATGAAACCCAATTCATGACTTCACTAGCGAAGTAATAAAACAGTTTAAGTCCCTTTTGACTATTGGTTAGTTCTCATTAAATATCTTGGAACCTAAGGCGGATAGCAAAACTTTTGCTAAAACCTTTATTGTAGAACACATTGAGAGCCACAAATAATGCAATTACAAATATTTCGCTACACTGAAAGAAAAAAATACTTTTGACAAAGCGGATTTTCTTGATGCAAGAATAGTATGTTTCGTCATTAGGCTGAATAGCTCATATGATTGCCACCCTCGCCTTCGGCTC